GCTTGGGACCTCAGAATTTGATTCCGGGCACACGCCCAAGTCCCATATTTTTCTACGAACCCTCCGGGACCGTCGAATCACAGGTCCGGGTCCGTTTACCCAAAATGTTGACCGAAGTCAACATTATGCATATTAATACCAAAATTCATCAAATGTTTCACATAATTCACATATTCTAACATAAAAACTTTCCGGCTACGCGCCCGAACTGCGCACGCCAATCGAGGCAACTAAAAGCGAGGTTTTCAAGGCCTCGAAAGCACGGAACAAGGAAGAACTACGGTGATGACCCTTCGGGTCGTCACATAATGCGATGATTTTCATGCTTTAAATACACATAATTTCTTGAGAAAAATATCGACAAAGGAGATGAAGAAACAAAATAATCATAACTACCACTATAAAGGAGAATAGATCAATTGTTTATTTTTTTTTAAGTTGAAACCATCTTCCTACTAATAGATATTAATTATTTTCTTCACTACCAAACATTTCAACTAACATTTTATGTTTGATGAGTTTATAGGAAAAGATCTTTAATGACAATGTTGATCGAATTCCTTTTTTTATATTTCAATTAAATGACATGTTAGTGATATTTTGTGATGATCTCGAGAAAAGGAATGATATCAACTGGTAAAATAAGGCATTCTTTTCTAAGTATAGCTTAGAATGAAAAATAAACATAAGTTTCCATTCCACTAACTGCAAGGTCACTAGAGATATTCAAATCCAACAAGACCATCTATACTTTTTTTTCCTTCTCTGTATTCATGAGCTAATTCACCAATATTATATATATATACACACACATGTGTGTGTTATGTGAGTGTATATATATTTAAAGAAAAGTATGACAAACAACAAATAATCTTTCCTCCAATCACTGCTTTATGTTTTTCAGCAAATTGGATTGAAGTGTAAACCATAATAAAGAGATATATAAGAAACATATGTCGTGATAATTCTAATTATCACTATATTATCATTCAAATGTGACATGTATTTCGTGTTCCCAATATAGAGATAAATTTACACAATTTTCCTAATGAAGCACATAAATACAGAGCGACAAAGAGAAAACAAAAATGAAAGTAAACTTACATATCCCTATTGCCCACAAAGTGAAGAGGAAAATCAAAACTTTCGAAGCCATCTTTGTATGAAAGGAGAGAAATGTGTAACTCCAATTTATAGGAAATATATCATGAATAATGTAAAGGGGGTAGAAGAGTAATGTTACAACTTATAGAATAGTATCGGATTGTAGATTTAGATAAACCAAAACAGTAAAGAAATTAATATTATTCTTGGAACTCTTAAAGAGTATTGTAAAGCTAATAAAAGAATTAAATTTAAATCTTATAGAAATTATCAAATGGTAGATACTGAAATTATTTCACTTAGATTGAGATAAACCAAAATAGTGAAGAAATTTAATTATATTCTTAAAACCTCCCAAGTTATTTAATGCAACACCTTAAATGATAGATATTGATAAAATCCTCTTACATTATGATAATATAAAGTAGTAAAATATTTGACCAAAAAAACTAAGATGATCTAAATAGTAAAAAAAAAAGTAATTCTACTTTAATACTTACTTTCTCCTGTCCACAAAAAGTGACCAATTTGCTTTTGGCACACCCATTAAGAAAATACTAAATTCTATACAAAAATACATATTATGATTAAATTACCCTTAATTAAATATTTAATGTGAGGAGTTTTAGGAATATGTACATAAGGGTAATTTTGTAAAAACAAATTGAATTCTTTCTTGATTATATAAATGGACACTTATTTTGGACCAAAATCAAAAAGCGAATTGGTCACTTATTGTAAACCGGAGGGAGTATCATTTATAGTTGTTGTTGGTGCCAAGGTAAGATTTTGTATCAAAATAAAATTAATCAATCTATGAATAGATTTGAATCGGAGGGTGAGATAGGTCAAGCTTGACATTTGACTATGTAATGACCCTGGGAAATGGATCCCCAACCCTAACAACAACAACACAAAATACCTCCTAAACCCCCAGATATTGATCAAAGCATGATCAAACCTAGCTTCAAAGCTATGCTTACCACTTCGAACCCTTTATTCTTCATCACTATTGAAAATCATCAAGATATAGACCCCCCAATGATGGACTCGGAAGATCAAGTAGTTGATCAACCAACCTTAACGACCTCAAAGGGCATCAAATTCATAACACTCTCTGATGAGGAGAAGGTAAGAATCTATGAGCCATGGAAAAATTCTATCATAGTAAAGCTAGTGGGAAAGCGTATGTTACACTACTATCTAAAGAGAAAAATTCAAGAACTATGGAAACCAACTGAAGATTTCCAGTTGATTGACCTTGGAGTACACTACTACATAATCAAATTCAAGAAAAAGGAAAATATGGACAAGGTAATGTATCAAGGCCCTTGGTTCATTAATGAACATTTTCTCTCTATTACTAGATGGAAACCAAACTTTGTTGCCACTCAAGAGAAAGTCGCAAACTCAGCAGTATGGATTAGACTTCCTCAATTACCTACAAAATTTTACGATGGCAATTTTCTGGAAAAAATTGGTAATGCAATTGGCCGGCTCCTAAAAATTGATATTTGCACATCAACAACTCTGAGAGGTCGTTATGCAAGATTATGTGTGGAATTACCATTGGAAGTTCCAGTTCAACCATTCATCTATGTTGTCCACCACAAACAAGCAATACACTACGAAGGTGAAAATTTTCTTTGTAAAAACTGTGGACGATTGGGGCACATAGCTCAAAAATGTTCCTTTATTATTCAGAAAAATAGAGATGGAAAAAATGAAGATACAAAGCAAGGAATTATCAACAATTACAAATAATAGGGAAAAAGAACAATGGACAACATTTTCTTTCCAAAGGAAGACATCAAGGTGCAAAAGGTCCTCAAAAACAACCTATTGCAAATCCGATTAAACAAGCTAATGGCCCAGGTATCCCTGTCAAGTTATTCAATGCCAACACCGGTAAGTATTTAGACACTCAACTCTTACAATATAAATCAAAAGATCACAGAAATACTACCCCATCACCATACACTAACAATCTTCAATCTTCGACTTCTTTGATTGGTGATCAAAATAAATTGATAACAAAAAATAACTTTTCTATCCTATATGAAGAGCCCCTAGTTTTGAACAAAACCACTAAAGAAATTAATAATCAAAAAATTATAATTAATAAATCACATGCAAGTGAACAAATGTCACAAACTACCAATGATATTGATATGCCGGACACAAATGTGTCTTCTATTACAAATCCTACAAATCAATTAGTTAAGGTGGCCATGCAAAATAACATCCATAATGACCCTACTACCCCTATTAAAAATCACAGCACTACTAATAATACTACCCTTCCTAGTGGGCAAATTAGTAACAATCCGTCCATTAACCACAATCTCAAGAAAGATCTTTCATCAAGATCTGCTTATCCACAAAGGCCTAAGCATGCTAGCCAAATGGCAATGACAGAAGAACATCCAAGCCAAATGGCTAAAAATCCAGCACACGCAAAGGATTTGGGAACTCAGCCTATAAACTCCACCCTTGGGGACTCAAACGATATACAAAAGATATCCCCAATCATTACCCTATCAACCAATCCATCCCTTATACCTAATAGCTCCTCCCCCATGCCTGATTTAGAATTATTAAGTAACCTAAACACTGATCATAATGCCAACATTACCATCATCCCTAAGGAGGAGACAAAGACTTCTCCAAATTCTTCGACAAACCAGAATCACCATGGAAAACCTCTCACCTCTCCAACCTCAACTAGTAAACCCTCGAATAATTTATGTTCAACCACCTCAAGCTCAAGACTATCAACCTGTATCATGGATGGAGATGGATCTGATGGGCCATACATGCTCATTCAATGTCCAGATAAATGGCCAGGACTCGATTATCATCCTCCACAACACTCAGTATCTAGCCCAGTTAGTGACAGAAGGCATAAGGTTGGCCATGAACAACTACCTCAATCAAGCATGGCTCAACAACATCCTTCAACCCTTAGCACCATCAGTGAACCCCCAGCTGGTTCATGCAATGAGGAACCAGTGGAACCTTCCTCGACATTTCAATCCAATCTATCCTCAAAATGTTTTAATGGACATGCCATTCTTCATGCCAGAGAATCTGTCTCAACTAAACCCTATTTTTCTTCCATGGGAACAACCTCAACCAATCCAGGAGCCTCAGATACCACAACAACCTCCCTCCCCACCCCACAATCAAGTGCCTATGCCAGAACCAGTAGAGGCAGAAATGGAAGAGGAAGAGGAACCCCTAAACCTACTCTTAGAAAGAGTCCTAGAAATCTCAAGTCTCGACGGAGTAAAAGTGTTTCTCTTTTCAGAGAGGCAAGAGAAGAGGCATGTTCTCAGCTGCCCTCTAGCATTATACAAATGATCGATGGACATAAGACCTCCACAGGATCCAACTGTAGGCAATCGAGCCATGATCCTAGTTCCATCATTAAGGGGGAACCCAGTTCTAGGGGACGTGAAGGAGAATGGGAATCCAACGAACCAAAACTTTAATATTTCCATGAATCAACCTACTAACATTATCATTTAGAATATTAAAGGAGGGAACAATGAAAACTTTAGAAGGAACTTCAGGAAAATGGTGGACACACATAGACCCTGCATGGTAGCCTTATTAGAAACCAGGATGGGAAATCACATGGAGCTTCTAGACGATTATGGTTTTATGGAGTTCATAGAAGTACCAGCTGAAGACCAGGAAGGTGGGATTGTGGTCCTATCCAATCATGAAATTGTCACCATTCAGAATTTTTTCGAAGGGATCAGGAGATTTATGCTACAATTGAGGTAATCCCTATTCGTCAAAAATGGCTTTTTAGTGCTATCTATGCTAGTACAAATATACTTCTTAGGAATAAGATGTGGGATAACATTGAATGCATTAGTAATAGCTACAATGGACCTTGGTTATTAGGAGGAGGTTTCAATGATGTATTCTGCTCAAACAAGAAATTTGGTGGTAATAGTATAAAAGATAGTAGGGCTAAATATCGTTGGTGTAAGATAAATAATTGTAATTTAATTAATTTAGGATATAAAGGGTGTAAGTACACTTGGTCAAACCTTAGGCACAAAAATAGGGGTTTGATTATGGAAAGATTAGATAAAGTATTAGGCAATGAGGATTGGATTAAGCTTTTTCCAAAAAGTTCTATTATTCATTTGCCTAAAACCCACTCGGATCACAATCCCATTTTAGTAGAATTAATATCAAAAAATAATGTTCTTTATAAGCCTCTCTTTCGACTTAAAACCTATTGGTGTAAACACCCTTCTTTCAAAACTCTAGTCCAAGAAAATTGGTCTAATAATGATTATAATAGGGCTAGCAATTTGTTTATAGAAAAAGTCAAGGTTTGGAAACACCAAGCTTTTGGTGATATTATGGAAAAAAAGGAAAATACTAGCCCGGCTTCAAGGCGTTGAAAAATCCAAACATTACTCTTATAGTATTTTCCTTCAAAACTTACAAACTAGCCTTAAAAAAGACTACAATGACCTTATACTAATAGAGGAAGATTACTGGAAGCTAAGGTCAAGAGTTTTATGGCTTAACGAGGGACATGTAAACACCAAATTCTTCCACATCTCGGCTACTAATTGAAAAAGAAGAAATAGGATCAATTTCTTCAAAGATGATGCAGGGAATTAGATTAACGATCCTAATCTAGTCATCTCCCATGTTTGCAACTACTTTAATTCTATCTTTACCACCTCCCACAAAAATTCTAGTAGAATTAGTCCTTTAAAAAACATCTCCCAAAATGCCTTAAACCTCAATAGCCTAGATAACCCCCTTCTTAATATTGAGATTAAAAAGGCCATCTTCTCCTTTAAACCCTTTAAAGCGCCCGGACCGGACGGTCTACACCCGTTCTTTTTTCAAAAGTGCCACACCTCTCCTTTTTGCCTTACACCCCCGGAAAGGGTCTAAAGGAGTTTTTCCAATTAAAGGACAATCGAAACGGGATTATATCTATTAAAAGATTCAGAGTCGCCATTTGGGAGATTTATGGTATCCCAAGTCACCGGTTGAATCCCGAATCGAGGAAAATATAACTCTGTTTAACAGTCCACGAACCAGAAATCCGAGTAAGAAATTCTGTTAACCCGGGAGAAGGTGTTAGGCATTCCCGAGTTCCGTGGTTCTAGCACGGTCGCTCAACTGTTATAAATGGCTTATTATCTGATTTTAAAACATCTTGGAAACCTATTTGCATTTTTTAACTTTTGGAAAACCGATTTTACTTATTTAAAGAATTAATTCAAGGTTATTTAAAACATATTGCAAGCCACGTCACATGAAATGCACCCATGGTTCACAGCGCGCTCTATTTAACCTTGTTGGAAATTAGGACCGGGTCACATGAAATGCACCCCCGGATTTTAGCATGTTTACTTTTTAATATTCAAAATTATGGTAGGGTCACATGAAATGCACACCCAAGCCCCTTTAATCTAATTTGACGTAGTTCAGTTGATGAATAACAACTCAATATCTATATTGTGACAACATCGTGTTCAGCTATAACCAATTCGAGTAAACATACGAGCAAATAACTAAGTGGGCAAATTCGAAATTACAACGAAACTGTGACTATCCAGCTAGAGGCAAAGAGCAATCTGTGTTGCTTGCTACAAAGAAAACCGAGAAGCAGAACAAACCTTCACGCTTTCTAAACGAATCTGCAATGAATAAAGGATTCCACCACATGGCCAAGGCCGTTTCCAACAGGTTGCAAACAACTATTTGTGATGCCATGTAATAGAAAATTTTCAAACAAACATGTAACTAGACTCAAAAGAGTAGAGTTTCAAAATAATCCAAACGTCTAAATGATAATATGTGATAATTACTAACATCATGGTTGCAAATACAATGCAACTTCAAAAGGATGGCAATCAAGTTACGATAGCCAGGCCACAACTGAATGCTGTTCTAAACCATAAATAAGAATTTGGGCATAGCTCGCGTTTCATTCAAACACCAAATCCATATCATATGAACACTAAATTAAGAATAATCAGGTTGACAGAAGAAACGAATTGAGAAATATGAACCTGAAATTTCGATGAAACACAGCTTCACACACGAGCACTGTTTCGATGCTCGAATAAGAGACACGGACTCGAAAAAAATGTAGCAGCAACGGAACCTCGCCAGAAATTCAAAACAGACGGAATCTCGGACAGCGTATCAACAAATACCTCGACGAAATTGAACAGATTCACTCGACCTGGATTTGGGTAGCATTTCCAAGCTGACTTTCGCAATGATTTGGGTTAGTTTCAGGAAGTTTTGGAGCTAGGTTTACCGCTGGGTTTGAACCCGGTCCGCCGGATTCTATGGCAAGTCGTCGGAATCAAACAGTTTCGGTTAGATTTGGTTCCGTCTGTATGTGCGTCCAAATGTTTCTCGTTTTTGTGCATGTGTGTGGCTGTGTGCGTCATTCAAGCTTTTGTTTTTTGTTCCGGCAGCTGTTGCTGTTGAACCAGACGACTCAACAGGGCAGGGGTCGTTTGTGTTCTGGTTGCTGGGGTGGTGTGAAGGAGATGAGGTTTCAAGGGGTGGGGGTCGTTGGTTTGGTCGATGTAGAGAGCTGGGTCGTTTGGAGAAGACGATGGGCAAGCAGGGGGGGTCTCTGTTGAAACAAACGACGCGCAGGGTGAGGTTAAGAAGACGACGCAGGGGGGATGGGGTCTTTTTCCAAAAGCTGCCCAGCCTTTTTCAACTTTTTTTTAGCCCTTTCCTTTTGTCCGTTTCTTTTATTTTTATAGTCTAGGTTTTTGGTAGGATTTTAGGTTAAGGGGTATGGGCCTAAGAATTATGGGCTAGGTCCAAAATTAGGCCTAAAGATGGGTTGCTCGAGCCCAAGCTCTCTTCTTTCGCTGCGAACGAGATTAAAAATACGGGCCCATTTGTTAATTATTCCTACTATTCAAATAATTGTTAAAGTAAAACTAACCATTAAAAAAAATCTATTTTTGGTATTTTCAAATATCATATTAAAATAAAAATACGATACTATTGTTGTATATATTTTTTAAGAGATTTTTTTTAGATTAAAAATGACTACAAAACATTAATGAACCTATTTTTGTGATTTTGTTTTGTTTTCTTGTAATAAAATAAAGTAAAAGAGTCACAATTACTTAAAATATCTATATTATGCCTAAATTAAATATTTTACGCTAATATATAAAAAATCTCGGGGAGGGTCAAAAATCACATGTCTACAGCTGCCCCTCTTTGACTGGAAACGTACAGAGTTTTCAAACAAAGACTGACTAGACAGGTTTTTGACCCGACCCTTATTTGGAGAGACTAAATCTAAGAGAGAAGGGAGTGTGACCGAGCCCTGGTATCTGGGCTGCCTAAATATCCTTGGCTATAAAGGAATCAGGCCATGTGTAGTTCAGAGATGAGTGAGGTGATGGAGTATACCGAGGTGGAGAGCCGGTCGAGGTGCCGTTCCGTCGAGGTTTCGGTCCGCAGTCCTGCTATTACATCAAAATCAAAACATGAAAAAGACTAGATACGCCTATCAACTATGAGTTACAAGATTCCTATCTATAAGTCTTCTAAAGCTTGATCTTAAGTCTTGAATGGTTCTTCATGCAGACTTTAGATTTAAACCTTGGCGCTTGTTAGCTGCAGGTGCTAGCTCGTTCTTCTACAGCTTTTGGGTCGGGACCGGACATGTAGTGCTTGTGACTTCCACCACGTCTTAAGTATTTCACATCTTTCATCAACCTCTGCATTTGGATTCACTTCTTGCCTTCCTCTCTTTTCTTTATTCTGACTAACTTCTGTTGATCACCTCGGACTGTTGGCTCGCATTCTTGCCGCGAGATTCTTTGGTTGCTGACTTGAATTGCAATCTGAGATGTTTTTCCTTTTCTTTAGGTGGACGCCTGACTGTTGAACTCGAACCGTCTTCTCTCGTTACTTGACACTGTTTTCCTTTGCACCTTGAACCATTTTCCCCTGAAACTTGAACTGTCTTGCTTCGAAACTGCTTTCCCTTGAAACTTGAGTTGTCTTCATTCGACACTGCTTTCCCTAGAAACTTGAGTTGTTTCCCCTTGTTCTCCAGGTGGGGTGCCTGATTACAACAAAATAGACAAAACAAAGAAATTTTCTGCCACAGTTTGCACTAGGAAAATTTGTGAGTTGTTAGCAAAACTGTAAACCACTTGTGCTATTGATGCAATGATGAAATTAAACTAAAGAATAGACTAGGAAATCTATAAACTAAGCTTGACTAAAGTAAAAACTGACCCTATTCTCCAGGCGGGGCTCCCTGACTGCTAACTTGAAATGTATTCCCTGCTCTCCAGGTGGCCTCCTGACCGCTGAACTTGAAATGTATTCCCTGCTCTCTAGGCGGGCTCCTAACTGCTAAACTTGAATGTATTCCCTGCTCTCCAGGCGGGCTCCTGACTGCTAACTTGAAATGTATTCTCTGCTCTCCAAGCGGGCTCCTGACTTC